TGAAAGGGGGAGACGGGATCACTTTGCTGCTTCGCTCTATTCCCATGTTCATGGTTCGCTACACCTTAGAGGGAAGATTGGTTAGAGCAAGGGAAGTGTGGGTGTTGGATATCAGAAAAAACTTTCTCACTAGGAAGGTAGTAAGGTACTGGAAAAGGTTACCCAGAGTGGTTGTGGGCTCTCCATCCTTGGATGTTTTTAAGACCTGGCTAGACAAAGCCTTGCTGGGATGAGATGATTGGGGCTGGTCCTGCTGTGAGCAGGGCAGGTGGATGAAAATCGATGACTTAAAAGAATCCAATTAAAAAAAAATTTTTTTTTATTTAAATAGGATTCTTTTCCAAAATCATCAATAAAATACTAAAATTCTCTCTCCTTTAAAAAAATAACAGCTACAATTAAATCTCATCACAAACATGCCAAACCTACACTTACAGTCTCTTAAAAATGAATTAATGGCTCTGTCTCACTTGCATACATTGAGTTATCTACCAATCAAACATGGGCCCCAGCATTCATTTCAGTTTTTCATCTCATGAAAGTGGCTCTAATCTGTGTGTCCAGCCTAATTACCAGCTCTTGCTTCTTGGAAGTTCTGGGCTTCCAGTTTCTGTTTCTCAGTGGACTAAAGACACAGGCTGGATAGGATTGCTGTTGTTCTGTGCTTAGGTGGTGGTGGGACTGGGCCAAGCAAGGCAGAGGAGTTAGTCAAGACACTGTCTTAAAGACGGATGACGATATAGGAAAGGACGGAGGCAGAGTAGAAAGGAACAGTGGAGTGGACTGGAAAGAAAAAGGGAAGACATTCAGTAGTTCACTCACTCTCTCTCTTCCTCCCCCCCCCCCCCCCTTTTTTTTTTTTGCCACAAAAAACCTGTCATGGCTTCTGGGCGTAAGAGACCTTCCCTGGGTAACAAAGGAAAATGTGGCAAGTGTAAGTAGTGCAAGAAGGAGACACGGCTTAGTTGCAAGAATGGAACATCATAATGAAAACTGCTTATTGGGAGACAATGATGTGGATGAAGACGTGGATATGTCTGAAGAACGATGTGGATCAACTGGTTAGTAAATTAAATAATTCACTTTGCAATGCATCATTTTTCAAGACTCTCTATGCCTTTTAGTATAAGTGTGATGTAACAAGTAAATTCCCAAGCTGTTTGCTATGTTGGATGTTGCTAGAAAAAAAAAGTTTAGCTTAGCTAATCATTATGGCTTGTTTAATTAGTTAACTAGGTTTAGAATCTATCACCCAAGTTTATGGTACAAAACACTGCAGTAAGAGAAATCTAGAGTTGCCAGTTGCCATTGGGCGTCATTTTCTTATTTTATATTACATAATACGTGCCCCTTATTTTGAAACATCAAGGCCCCAGACCATAATGGTGATGCCATAAGTCTGTTCCCTATTTTACTTCAGCATAACTCAGCTTTCCCAAGGGAACCCCATCCTATACTTGTTTTTTCAAGTGCCAGTGATTTCAGTGGGTCTTAGTCCAAAATTAAGCGCATCCTAAGTGCAGTCAGTCTTAGCTTTTTTGGTAATTTGGAATCGGATCTGCATCCTTGCTGAAAAGAATGTAAATGATTAAATGAATAATAGAGTGAGAAGAACTGAGAGGAATGACTATTCAAAAATCTTTTTTTTTTTTTTTTTTTCTTCAGGATCCCATTTAAGTAGAAGGGACTTTGACTGTATCTGCAACAACTTCAGAGTCATCCGTTGGTACTTTAGCAGCAGTGCTGCAACTGAACGTGCTTCAGACAACAAAGTATCAGTAGCAAGCAAAAGATTTCAATCATCCTATAAAACCAACACCATGGATGGGTTTGTAGTAAGGACCAGCAAATACCAACAAGACACCATAGATGAAAAGATTGCTCGGTTCATTTATGCTCCAAATTCTCCATTTCGCATTGTTAACAATAAACACTTCATTGACATGGTTGAGTCCTTACGACCAGGCTACACCCCACCTGGTAGGGCAGACATTGGTGGAAGGTTGCTAGATAGTGTATGAGAAGGAACTTGAACAGTGTATAAGAAATACTGAGGGGAAATTTGCCAGTTTAAGCCTTGATGGGTGGAGGAATGTACACAATGATCCAGTAATATGTGCCTGCATGACATCAGAAGATGGGGTTGCATATCTGTCAGAAACAATCGATGCATCAGGAAGTGCCCATACAGCAGAATATTTAAAAGTGGCAGTGAAAGTTGTAATAAACTGTGAGCAAAATTTCAACTGTCACGTGCACGGTTTTGTCGCAGACTGCTACAAACGTGGCAAAGATGAGAAGATACTTAGAAGAAGACAAAGAAGGATGCTCCTTAATAACATGCCTGCAGTGCCCATTCAATCTGTCTTTTAGCCAAAGACCTAAATACTTTTCTAGGAATAAAAAAATGTTGTTGAAGTTGCAAAATACATCCATAACAACCATTTTGCTTCAGCTGCCTAGGTAGATGCCTAACTTTTGAAGAAGATGATGCTGCCATGGCCTGAGCATCTCAAAATCACTCCTCAGTTATGTCAGTCATCATAAATTTCGGGGCTGGAGGGGAACTATTTAAACAGTACATGTTTACTGATGATATTTTGAACAAAGTCAGTCCCCTGAATTGGTGGAAATCATTAGCCAGGCACCTTGAAACAAAGTTCCTTCAGTTGCTAAGCCAACTTTTCACAGCAGTCGTTTCCTCTGCAGGCACAGAGATAATATTTTCATCATTTGGTATTATTCACTCAAAGCTAAGAAATCGACTGAGAGTTGAAAAAGCAGGAAAACTCGTATTTCTGTTTCAGTCTCTGAATAAAAATGACAGTGGGAATGGGGAGATCTAGTTGTAGAAGTTTTAAGGACAGCGTACGTTTCGTGTTGTGATGACGTCTGTTAGAGTCAATAAAATTTGAAACTTAAAAAAAAAAGTTTAAGGGCAGATGTTGTAAAATGCTGTTTTGAGTTGTAAATTAACATGTTTTAGTGATCCAATTTGCGCCATTGTTTAAGGATATGTGAAGTATCAGTGGGAAACTTGGTTTTCTCGGTGATTTTAAATCATGATTTTTAAATCAATCCACCCTGGAGCAGAGGGTTGAACTAGATGACCTCCTGAGGTCCCAACCCTAATTTTCTATTATTTTGTTGTCACACTTGTACCGTGCACACATCAGTAGACTTTTGTGTATTTTATGGACAGAATGTTCATTTCTTCTGTATTTGTGGAACTTCAGTGTCTACCACAGCAGGTTGGTGCTAAGAGATAATAGAAGAGGAGGAATTCATGGTTTTTACACAACAGCAATGTCTGCAAGTTGCTACTGATATATTTACATGGGGGAAGCACTTTGGGGCCTGTAATGGGCTTGGGGATAATCAGCCATGGCTGTGTTGAATCTGAATGGTTAGGCATCTAGCTGGGGTCATCTGAACCCAGCACTCTTCCCTGCCTATGCAGGGGGTCGGACTCGATGATCTATTGAGGTCCCTTCCGACCCTAGCATCTATGAATGTTGTTTGTATTTTAGGCATGCTTTGATGCCTTCATGGTATGGGATGCTAGTGTCATCCATGGTTGAAAACATGGCATTTTAAAGGTAGTTTATCTTGTCATTTAAAGAAAAAGTGGCTTGTTCGTGGCTTCTTTGAAACCTGGTAGCTTTTCAGTGAGGGTACTGCAGTTAGAGAGAGGTCTCCTGGAGTTCCCTTTGTTTCTACATGTTGGAGATCATGTATAATGTTCTGGCATTCAGAGAATACACAGTTCTTAGAACTGGCAGAGAATTAATTTGGTTACATATTTGTGTTCAAGGATGGTTAGGGTCCTGTTTGAGGTTTTTATAGTTAACTAGCCAATTGCCTGTCGAGAGTGACGGGGGATGGGACGGGATTGGGATGGAGTGCCGCCACCTAATGCCCCATGCTACTGCTGTTCTGCCTCTTACAGGGAGTGGGGTGGGGAATCCAGTCCTCAGTCCTGCTTGCACAGAGTGGGGTGGGGGAACCGAGGCTATCAGCTGCCCTACCCTCTGTCCGGTCCTTGGCGTGGCTTCAGAATCATGGCGGCACTCCCCCGTGCTTGCAGCACTTTGACTGGCTATTTCCATCAAATGCATTATAAACTTGAATATGGTCCCCTCTCTTCCTCCCCCATCCCCTCAGCAACAGATACTTTCCTACAAGTTTTGTCACCCTTCAGTATGGACGTACTCCTTTTCTGCTTCATTGATTTGGCATGCAGGCTCGGCAGTTTATCTGCTTGTGCTCCAAACACTTTGTGCTTAACTTCTGAAATGTGTTATATGCTTGAAACATGGTTTTGAAGTTGTTTAAGGTAATCCATGGTGCTTGGCAATTTACAGAATACTTAATCATGACTCTGTCCTTTTGTTTCATGCTTCTGTTTTGATGATTTACTCGAATATGGCAACAGCTTTTAATGGAACACCAAGAGAATCAATTTTAAGTATTTTGGGTTTTGCAAACATACACAGATCCTGAATCTCTAACAGTACTGATCAAATTGCATTCTTTGAGTTGCAGGCACGTTATTTCAAAACCAGTCATGAACCTGAGGCTTGCTTTTTTTTTTAAAGCTAAAACACTGGATTAACTCTAAATTGTGTACATACAAACTTTCATGTACTGCCACATTTTCTGTCTTTAAAATGGGATATGAATTTTGTATGCAAGGTGATACAGGTAATCACTAAGCTGTAAATTCAATACAAAATAGTTCTGGGGTAAAAATGAAGTGATTTGTTATATGGATACTAGAATCTTTGGAAGCATGCTAGAAGAGCTCTGCTACTTGACAAATAAATGTTTTGCTTCAAAACTTTTGTCCTTTACTCTGGATTTGGGTGAAAGTAAGAAAAACTTGAATAGGAAAGGAATGTGCCATATGTGGTATATTTTGGTGTGGTGGGTAAAAGTATTGACACCTGTTCAAAATGAAAAAATAAATTGATTTTTTTTTTTTTCTTCCAAACTTGCAGATGTCAACGAGGAGCCTAACCGAGGATGTCAGCCCAGAATGAGAGGGTTTACTAGTGGAAGGAATTTTGGAAGCAGAGGTGGTTAATTTTATTCTCTTCTCCCCCCACGCCCCACCTTTTCTATTGGGTTTTGTTTAAACTTTAACGATCTATTCTGCCCAGCAGGGTGGTACACAACTATAAACGATTATTACTAATGTAGGGTACATAGTGCTGCAAGTAGAACATGACGAAGATAAATGTATTGGGAGTGGTCATGAGTCAAAGCCTTCCATAATGTTGTTGTGCAACTTACATACAATAAGGCATGGTGCCCAGCCTCTTTTTTTTCTCAGAGCAGTGCCCAGTCCATGCATGGGCCAGATTTGTCTGGTGGTCGTGATCTAGCACCCAGGGCGCATGTGGCAGGCATCTTCTGGTTGTGTGGAAGGGCAACCTAGTCCTGCTGGTATAGGTGTGGGAGGAATGGTTTGGCCCTATGGCAGGTAGAGAAATGGCCTGGCCCCAACTCAGCCCTGTAGGGTAGGGGGGGAGACCTGACCCTGCAAGGTAAAGAGGTTGTAGCCTGGCTTCAGCTGGTTGGGTGGAGCTTGGGGTTTGGGCATTTGGCAGGGGGGCGGGCCCATAATTAATAGCTACCACGTTTTCGGACCATAGAGAGCCCCATCGGCTGGCTGCCTTGGCTCCATGGGCCGTATTTGGCTCATAGGCTGAAGGTTGAGTACCCCTGCAAAGGCATTCAGCTGCAAAGTCTATAGGTCCAAGATCTCCTTTATAAAAACTATACTGTTTGTACAGTACACGTACAAAATACCGTATAGCTTGCTGAAGTGCATACCAGTACCGTACCCAATTTTTTACTGATTGGCTTGATTGTAATCAGCTCCATTTTTAGTCTCTGTTAAATGCATAAACTGCCTCAATTGCTGCACTTGGCATACACACAGCAGTGGGGAAGGATTGGGATTAGTCTTGGATAATGGAACAGACGATCATTGAGCACTCCTGGGATCTTGAGGGTGGTGGTGGAGAGCACAGGAGAGTACTTGCTGATAACCTCCCCTGCTCAGCGTTGGAATGAGGGGCTGAGGGGGAAGGCAGAACATTGTATTGTGATTATGCTTGGAGGACTTACGTGGCCCTTGTCATGCTCTGTAGAGCATTCATGTGTGATATGGAACAGTTGCTGAATGAAATGGTACAAAATAGTACCTATTCCCTTTGGGGTTATTTTAGTCTGGAGGCCATGCAATTAAAGTACACTGTACCTCAATAAAATGACAGTCTCAATGGTAGCTTATACCTTTCTGACTTTTTAGCCCTTTTATTTTTTTTAAAGATCTAGAATTGAGTGGCAGTGTGAAAAACTTAAGTATGAAAGCCAATTTAGCCATTCTTCCAAAGAAGCTCTCACATTACACACTCCCTTCCTTGTGGCATGCTCTTTTATGGTGAGTAAAATGCTTGATCAGAACTTGTCCTTACAAGTCATTATATGGTTTTTTTTTTTGTTTTTTGTTTTTTTTTGTAGATGCCAGTGAGAATCCCAATACAGAAAATACTCCCAGAGAAGGTGGATTTGGTAGTGGAAGGAGTTTTGGAAACAGAGGTAAACTTTCTATTCAGCATTTGTAAACTCGTTACAAAGAACTCTTTTAGTATCTGCGATGTCTTTAGTGCTTACTGCTAAATTTTTCCTGTCTTGGATATTCATTTTGGATCTACTTTGCAAGGTGTTGGATTTTATTAAATTAAGAAACATGTTCTTTACTTCCATAATTTTAATACAAGTGATCATTGTTAATGTAGACATAAAATGGCTTGATGTTAGTCCTGAAATTAGATGTTGATATTAAGTTTGCTTTTTTTATCAGCAGATATTTGCACAAGGTCTTTTAAATCTCTTAAATTCTCCTATTTATATTTGGGTACTCCATTTTAATAGGTATCTTCCCCTTGGGTGTTATGCAGAATTTCAGAATCAACAAAAGATGTAGTGATATTGATAGCTTCCCTTTTGCAGGGTTTCAATGAGTGTTCAGGTTTTTCATCAGCTCGGCCTTGTAATTATTTGCTGTGAGACCATTTAGGTTTTTAGGGATTTAATGTTGCCTGGAAGGAGGAGGATATATTTACAAGTCTTGATAGGGTTCTTCCTTTAAACCAGTGACAAAAATAAAGGAACTGTTCCAGCCTGAAAGTCGGTATCCTGTCCCATTAGAAGAGCTGACCTCTCATTTCTTGTGGCTAGAGTCCTGTTTAGGTCGTTCCCACTGCATCCTGGCTTTTCTTATAACTTGGAATTGCAGTAGCATCCCTGCATAACAATATGCCCCTTATCTTAATTTTTCAAACCTTGAGATATGGTGTACTTGACTGGGATCCAACTTTATTTGAAATAACTACAGTTTGTTTCCTACTTCATCAGTTGATTAGTCTACCAGTTCTTCTCTACTATTCCTGTAAGAGTTTTCTTTCAACAGTGGCTATTTCTAAAATAAATAGTGTTTGAAGGTGTTGCAAGGTTTGATAACTGAGCATCAATAACATTTTCCACAGTAGAGCAGTAGAAATGATACAGCATGCTTCAGAATATCTTTCATTCTTATTTTTCTCCTTCAATCTTGTACCTATACTATAACATGGCATAGTTGGCTAGGGATGTGGGAGGGTAATATGTTCAGTATTACTTGAAACATCAGCTATTGAGCTATTGGCTAATATTATTTGTACTGGATTTGGATTAGATGTTTCTGATACCAGGCAAAGTTCTGTGGCCTGTTGCTACCCAGCTAATTGGACTACTTCATAATCATTTCCTTTGACTTCTGAAATGTGTGGGTGTGTATTTGTGGAAATCATTATGTTGGTTCTTCTGATGTAGCTTGCTTTTGTTACCTCCAATTACACTAGAAAATAAACTTGAAGAAAGAAACAACTCTATTTGAGACATGCAAGTTTGGTATCTAGCCTTTTCTTGGCAAATGTTTTTTAGAGATGTGCTTTGTCATGAGACAAGTGGTCAGTCAAATGTCTTTCAAGTGTCCTGGCAGGTGGGTTTAGATTTTGTGTGTTGTTAGTGAGAGACGTAAGTATCAGATACTGAGTATTTTGCAGGGCCAGTAGTTAACAGTCTTATACAGTGTAGATTGTAATTCAAATGAGAAATTGTATTATTATTCCCTCCTAAAGCATTTGAGAAGCTTGCATGTAGACAGTATTTAACCATTCCCTCTTTGCTTAAGATGTCCTTTTGTTTACAATAAATGCAGTTTCATGCCTACATCTTAAACTGGTATTATGGAAAGATTAATATAGTCTTCTCTGAGACCTGTAGGTGAGTAGTAAACTTTGAGAAAATTCCCTATTCTTCATTGGAATAAGTTATAACCTTATAGCAGAATCATGTTTTCATTCTTCTTGGAAGGAAAAATTAAGGTGAAATTTAAGCTAATGCTTATTAACAGAATGCAGAATGTATCTAACTCTTAAATCTACCTGGGGAATGTATCTAACTCTTAAATCTACCTGGGGAAGATTGTAACTCAGTCATCTTAGTGCCGGCAGTTATAGTGTACCCTCTTTTGAATTAATACAGAATAATTTTCTGCTGTAACAGTAACACGTTATTTAGCAAGGTAAGTCTGTTCACTTTCTGGTTCCTGAACTTTCTTCCAGACACTTGGGCTATTCCTATGAATAATTAAGTAGCTTGCATTAACCATGCCCTTTTAACATTTGGGGCAACTCTTTCTTTAGCAGTGTCTTTAGAGGCTTTCATCTATTGCTGTCCATCTTGTCCAAATACAGCAGCAACTTTCTCTTGTTCTCTCCTTTCATGGGTCAGAATGTTATGAAGTGTTGTTCAAGAGCATAACTACCTTTCTGTTTCTTCCTAACCCACAATAGATGGAACAGGGCAAGAATTTGTCCTGTACTTGTGGTTATTAGAGCAAACCTCTTGCATTAGGGATGGGTCAACACCCAGCCCGTGGTCCAAATCTGTACCGTGGAGCCATGGCTTCTGGCCTGTGGAGCTCCCCGCAGGTCAGAAAATTAGGTGGCAGGGGCTAGGGGAAAAGCAGTGGCAGTTAATACTTCTGTCCTTCCCTTGCTGTAAAGTGCCCTAGCCCTGCATGGGAAGGACAAGGATTAGGATGGGGAACTCGTTATGTATTCTTTCTGGGGCTGTTCTCTTTGGTATTTTGATGACTTTTCCACCTAATAGTGGAAAGATGGTAGTGTTACATTCATATTTGTTACTAAAATGAAGTAGGCTTTGAAATGATGAGACTTCGAAGAGTTTCCACCTGCTTTTCGGTTTGTTAGGAAGACAAGTGCAGTCTGTATCTTTCATGAGAAGAAAGAAATTAGTTCTAAAAAGAAAAGTGGACCTTCTAAAAGGTCCAATTATAACGTTCTGTCTTGCTGCCCTTTCTTATTCTTGCATAAGGAGCGAAACCCCTTAGTAATTATAGATAATATCAAGATGCTTAATTTTTAAGTCAATCTTGAATCTGTATTCCAGAATATTTTAAACCCAAATGTAACCATAATATAATAAAGGGTAGCTAATTTAAACTATTTATTTCAAGAAGAATCAATGTATTTTAATCTTTAAGACATTTAATTGTTCTGTCTCTAAAAGCGATTTATTATGCTGAGTAATTTGATCTGTCTTGATATAGGTTGCTTCAGTGAGGTTTTCTAATGGTAATATTATTCAAGCATTTTGTTCTGGAACAGTGATTACACCCCTCAAACCTAATCTCAGTCCATTCCACCACTTAACTAATTTGTAAAATATATAAAAAATAAAACATTAATTGGCATTTGAGATGCTGTGTGCAATAGTTTAAATGCAGTTTGCACGAGGTATACGTTCCTCCTGATAATGTGATATTAATTGTGGACTCAAGTGATTGGCAATTGATTCCTATGCAGTGGCAAATGTGTGTATTGGGAAATAAGGTTACTACTAGTATTTTCCTACATACAACATACACACTTACTCAAAAATCAGCCCCTCAAAATTGGGGTGCATATAGTAAGTGAGGAAGTTGATTTTCTGCCTGGGGTTGGAAGCGCCCTGCTCCCTGATTCCTACCTCAATGCAGGAGCTGTGCTGGTGTTGTTCAGGCAGCTTAGGGAGTCAGTTGACTTACTGGTGTGCGGGCCGGGAGTGGTCCGAGGTTCTCGGGGGCGCGCGGTGGGCTGTGGCCAGCAGCCCTGGCACGCGGGTCGGGGAATGCAGGCCAGCGGGCTAGAATTAGGCACGGATGCGTAGCGGTTGATTAAAGATTATTTTACTTACACCGAAGATGGTCGCGGTGCAGGCAGGAAAACTTGCTTGAGTTGCGGTTACAGACAGAAAAGAAGAGAGGCGGACAAGAGTTCCTTCCATGTGAACCTCTAGCCCAATCTGGTTGAAGGCTCTAAACACACGAGCCCGTCGTGTCAACCGAAGAAAACAACTCGGAGAAGAGCTCTGGATACACTCACATGAAGTTTGCTAGGCTCCGTGGAACTTGTGCGTGGGGAAGGGTACGTTGAGGGATCATGCGGCGACGGGGAGAGGCCAGAGGTTGATCAAACCCCTATAGCCTTCTCGAGGTATACGTTGGGTTCGATAGGCTCCGCAGCGCTTAGAGTTCTTCACAAGATGTGAAGTCCTCCTCTTCCAGATGGTTGTGGAGTCCTCCCTTGCGGGGTTCTCCTCGGAGTTCTCCAGCTTGGGCGGGAACCACTCAAGCCTCTTATACGGCTAGCAAGCCAATCACTAGCCGCCACGTGGGAATAATTTAGAACTGGCCAATAGTGGGACACAAATTTGCATGCAAATGGCGGGAACTCCTTTGCACTGTGCATCTCTCTCTGCAACTGAGAAATGCACCCTGCAAAGAAAGCTCCGAGTGGCGGGAAATAATTTAGCAGTGCCAAAGCGCATACATATCAAATCACACCCTTGGGTTGTGACAACTGGCTCGTTGTTCTTCACTTTACAGGTGTTAATGATTAGTCTGTCCCAGATCAGTCTTGATGTTTCACTAATCAAGCTAACCTTTCTTAAGGCAGTTTTGCTCTCTGTCACCTGCTCCTGGTCTGTTTCACTGCCTCTCTCAGTTCTTTAGTTCAGATTCTTTAGCTCTTTTCAAAATCACCCATGAAAGCCAGTCTTCAGCAGCTAGGGATTCAACTTTAGTTGAAAGGGAGGGTGAGTCAGTTGAAGATTAGGCTGTGTCCCTGCCCTGTGCAGTCATAACTCTGGACAAATCTTCTTTTAAAAAGCAGAATGAAGAAAGGTAAGGTATGTATTTAACTTGTGGGCAGTAAAATCTGTTAAAGTTGAGACTTGGTCTTTGCAAAATAAGACACAGTTCTGAGATCTTTTATTTCTTAAACTTCCACTTGAATGCTTTTTTTGTTTTTGTTTGTTTTTTGTTTTTGTTTTTTAGAAGAACGTACTGAAGATGCCCACTCCAGAAGCAGAGGATTTTCAAGAAGAGGAGGTAAGGGCACAAGCAAATTGGCAGTAATATTTTAAGGGAGAGACTTTCAGGCCAGGGGAATTTTCATTGGCTTTAATTTGGAATTGGATGATTAGATGCCTCTTGTACATTTGAAAATCCATCCCATAATCTCATCATGACTTAGTGTTCTTTGTTTTGATAAAATAGAAAAATTAAAAATCATGAATAACCATTGAAAAACCAGTTTCACAAGGTAACATTCTGAGTTGTACAAAAAAGAAATATTCATAATATTTTGGTGCAATAAAGAATATTTTCTTCTTCTTTATGGTTACATAAGTGGTGATCTGCAACTCCTTGTAAATGTATTAGGAGCACATTCTAGATCCAGAGTAAAGCAACACATTTTTTTATTTAATATGATGAGTGTTTCTTCCCTACTCTTTGACTGTGTGACTCTGGTCTATGTCCTTAAAAAAAGGTAGTCAAAAATGAAAGACCAGGTACATAGGAGTTTATGTAGAATGAGAATAGCTTTCATTTTTTTCTATCTTAGCCCTGTACCCAGGCTGCTGGGTTTCCTCTAGTTTCATACCAGTGGATGTGGGTATAGAAAGCTGACTTTTTGACTCAATGTTCTGATTTAACCATATTATCTTTCCCAGAATTCATAGCTTTAAAGGTTGGGGTTTGTATCTGAATAGCTTGGAGAAAGAAAGAAAATAACTCCAAGGTCTTAATTTCTTCTCTCCTTTATCTTCATTGTGAACTGGAAGCATTACTGAGGAGGGGGTAGCATTTTCAATTCTTTACTTCAAATCTGTTTGAATAAGTCACTTGACTGTGCTTGTGTCCCTTTTTAATAATATTGGTTGATAACGTTTCTTTACTCTTTGTAGAAAGCACCAAGATGTGCATGTGCAAACAGTGCAACTGATAAGCAGTGAACTCTGTTCAGATTTTACAGTTGCCATTATGCTGTATTATAGGTGCTCGAGGGGATTTCAGAGGTGGCCGTGGAGGATTTGGTCCAAGTCAATGTAAGCTTGATAATGTTGAACTTCTGGCACTTAGCAGTAACTGAATATAAAATACAGTTTTGTTGTGGTGGAGTTTCCCAGTTGATTTTAAAAATGTAATAAAGGTTCAAGTTATGAACAGGTGTTTGAGCTGTGCAAAAGTATGAAAACAAAGTAAATGAACAGATTTTACTTTTAAAATGGGGGACTTTACATTCATGCACATTCTTCCTAAAATTTAAACCTGTGAGGCTGCTGCTTTTTGTAGTGCGTAAGGAATAGGAATTTCTAATTCAGGACTGAATATTTTATTTTATTTTTAATAAATACTTTTCTAATAATATTGTACATATTACTGTAGATAATGAAAATGAGCAACAAGAAAGAGGACCGCATTTTGGCCTTAGGAGGGGAATGTTGGGAGGCCCTACAGGTGATGTTTGTTTATTTATATTAAAGTTTTGCAGATATTTTAAAGTGGTGTTTGCAACTGACTTGTTTCTAACCTAATGGATTAATTCCTTTTTTCCTTCAAAACATTAAACCTTCTTTATTCTACAGTTGTATTTACTTAGCTTATCTTCCAACTTGAACACACAAGAAATGTAACACAAAGGCCCCCTCTACGTGTTACAGATATTGCACAGTTAACTGAGACCAGCTACCTGTGCAAAGTACCTATCATATCATTAAAAGGTGGTCCAACTAGCTATAAAGTTAAACCTTGAAAATGTATATTGACTTTATAGCTGTTTGCTGCCTAGCTTTAATTTGCATGTGTAGCAGGGTCTGCCCCTGTGACTGGGAACCCCATCAGCTGACCTAGCTCTCAGCTGCAGGAGTGTGCCATACACAGCCAGGAATGGGAATCTTGCGTATGTGGAGTTGCCTTATGTTTCTTTTTTTTTTTAAATGCACTTTAAACTGGAAGTCTTAGAACTGATCTTTGAAAAGGTTTTCTGTGTGCCTTGAGTTTAAAAATGTTGAGAGCCACTGAGCTAACCTGTTTTGTTATGGCACTGCCTTCTACTTTTGGCTTTTTGCAGGATGCAGCATAGTGAGCTACGGATTGGTAGCTGACATCTGGTTTTTTGTTTTTGGCCTCTGTCTCAGTATAGCCTATTCCTAGCTTGTCTTGTGGCTGTGCCAGTTCACTGTTTGTTCATACTGATTAAAGAATAGTTCATTCTGCCATTTTGGTGTAACCAGCCATTTTATTAAACTTGACAGTAGCTTTCACACAAGTAGTGCTGAATGTGTAGGTGGTCCTCACTAGTTTGCCAGTTCCAGTGGATTAGCTTAAAAGTCAGTGATTCTTCATTAAAATAGAAGCATTAGGGGAGGAGAGTACCTGTCTTGTCCAGATACTAAAATTACTTCGATTAAATTTCACAGCGTTATTATATGAACCTAGCATTTCCTGTTGAATGCCACTATTCTGTCTGTTTAATTGCCTCTCCTTGTATACATATGTTTGAAAAAAAATACAATCAGTCATGCTGTATTTTCAAGGGCACGTCATAAACTGCAGCAGCTATGCCCTTCCAACTGAAGGATAGGTATTCCAATGGATTGGAGGTTGATATCTTCATTAGGGGTGCACACTTAGATTTTTGGGACTGATACCGATAGCCAATATTTAAGGGGGCACATCGGGTGATACTGATCAGATTTCCAATACAGCTGCCTCCAGCTGGTAAATCCAGTGTGATGGCAGGGGAGGGGGGAGGGAAGGGACTTGGGGGGGTAGATCAGTAGTCCTTGTGGTGAAGGAGGGGGCAGGTACTGGCGGGGGAAGGGAGAGGGGGTTGGCTCCTGCTGCTGCTTGTACCCCAGGAGGGCCTAGGGGTGTGAGCCTCTCAGATCTGTGTGGGGCTGAGTGGCCCGCAGCTGGGGCTGTGAAAGCCTCTTCTCAGCGGGGCCTGGGCTTGGAGCAGGTGCCAGCAGCTCTGGGAGGATGCTGCATCCACCCCAAATTTCACTGCCACTCTGCTCCCAATGCTGCCACCAGCTGCCCAGCGCAGCCCCTGCTCAACGCCCCACCTCCACCCACATGCCGGGAAGTGCTGTCAGCGCTTTCTCTGAGCCCAGCCTCCGCCAAAAGATCCCTGGTTGCTGCCCGCCCTGCCCCGCACTTATCCAGGGGGCAATGCCTCAATGGTAAGTTTCCCTCCTGTCACCCCTCCTTATGGTCCAGTAAACAGGCAGTGAACCACAGCATTGCAAAACTAATTTAATCAGAAACAACTTCCTTTTTCTTGATGGTTTTTTTTTTTTTTTTTTTTTTTTTGGTTCGGATCGTTGTTCAAGATGCTTCCTGCAGGAAGTTTAAAAATTTAATAAATTTGCAGATGCTATCAAGCTGGGAAGGGCTGGAGAATTGGAGAAATGTCTTGAAATAAATACAGTCAAAGGGCGAGTACAGCCTACTACTTTTTGTGTAGGAAAAATTTACCGCACGAATTTTAAATTGGGGCTGTATGGCAGCTATCGTGCAGACAAGGATCATGAGGTTTTATACTGCGTCTCAAAGCAAATCAGTCAAGTCATAATGTGACATTATGAAGTCCCTCATGTTGTGAGGGAAAACCAACACCATCCTGCATATAAGATATGAAAAATCCTTTCATTGTAATCGGCTTCTGGTAAGGTATCAGCTGGTTTATTGAGTTTTATTTTGGGCACCATTTCCAGGGAAGATATGGACCAGTTGGAGTCTTGAAGAAGAGCAGTGAAAAGGATTAGAGGTCTAGATCGTGTGACCTTTTTCAGATCCTTAGAATTGTTTGGAGAGCTTTCTGGCCTAGAAAATAGACGACTGGGGAGATGGAAATCTTCAAGTAATGTACCGTTCTTCCTGTCTCTGAGGATAGGACAAGAAGTAATAGGTTTAAATTGCAGGAATAGAGATTTGGGTTAGGCACTGGATTTTTTTTTTGCTTCCAACTGTGGGGTAGTGAAGTACCAGAATAGATTACATGATCATGTTTTGGAGTTTCCGTCACTGGAGACTTTTTAGGAGCAAGTTTTGATATATATATGCATCTTGATGTTTCCTAGGGCAGGCAAATTGTGACCATTTCAAGGTTCCTTTCCTCCCTACTTTTGTTGGCCACTTCTAGGCTCACTGCCCCTTTCTGTTTAGGCCTTTCTGATAAAGATTTCTTCTCCAGATTTTTCACGGTCACAAAATGAAGTTAATGACTCGGGAAAACAGACATAATATACAAGAAGTTGCAAGTCGCCAATTCCAATTTTAGAGGGAGGCCTTTGTTTGTCATGTAACTTGTTTTCCCGCCAGTCTGCTGGTTTCTTGTTGATTATTTGATTGAGAATCCATATAATGAGAGTACACACTGAACATACTTTTTCCATTTTTTTTAACCCGTTAGTTTCATATTTTTTTCAGCGATGCTCATTTAGTACTGTCTTGGCCCCTGTCCTGCCTCTGGCAGACTTCCCCAACTTTCTTTTCCAGCTTCCCAAGAATATATTTCAAAAGTTGTTTCTTCTAGCCATGGTTTTTAGTTTTATTGATATTTTCACTAACTCTCTTAACTAGGTTGGTTGTTTTTATTTCAAAAAGTAACCTGCTTTCTTGTAGCTGTGATCTTGTGATTGTTACAAAAATACTTGGAAACCATTTCCAATTATTTATATGTTCAATTTTTTCTCCCACTGTTTGCATCTCTGTTATTTTCCAGTTTTGATTAATAGGCCTTTTTTAACTACTGCGTGTGTATTACTGGTTGAGACAATGCAAAAATATAACAAATGATATCTGATCCTATTCTGTTCAGATAACCATTAGTTTATGATTATCCTTCAATGAGTCTTAAGCATTAAAAACTAATGGATTTTAGTATTTTTAGGAAATAATCTGAAGTCAAACCCCAGAGGAATGTTTCATAGAGGTAATATGAGACCTCCAGTTTATAATCCTTCTCTGCCAGTTGAAATTTCCATATATCTTTTTGAACATTATAGGTAAATTTTTATTGTCTGATTGATGTCTGATTTTGATCTATAAGAGTTTGTATTTCTGTAACCCATTTTGTGTATGTTTTTGTTGTGTTTTTTTTTTTTTAAAGCAGGCAGTGCATAACTTTATGTGCCATAGCCTATACTTTTTAATTGGCAATTGCAGTAAAACATCCTAAATAGTGACACTACTCCCTACCCTTTTTCCTTGAAGTGTCCTTTATTGTTTGAATTCTGGATGACTCTTGGTATTTGGGAGGGCTTATATGAAATGGAAAACTTGTAAAGTAACTGAATGAGAGAACTAGCTGTAGTGGATATTAAGAAGTAGATTGTCTTTCTATGGCTGTGTTGGAAGGGCGTTTAATGGAAGCCATCAATAATATACTGAAGCTGAGTATAGGCAGACAAGGTTATTTGGGTAAATGTGATATCTTTTATTAGACCAACTAAATAGAAAATTGTTCTTTGTAAGCTCTTAGGCATAGGAAGAGACTGTTGGTGTTTTATATCCTTAGCCCAGTATGACTACAACCAACACCCCCAAAACATGAAGTTGAGTATAGAATTTGTAGAAAAAAAATTTTTGAAGATGGACATTGAGTTTTGAGTGTTCCTGCTTTTAATAAAACTAGTTTTTAATATAGGATAGGAACAGGCTCAGTTCAGTAGGAATTTTAGGATGAGCACTGTACTGTCTATCAATCTCGGCAAGAGACATGGTAGTGTTCAGAGTACTCTTAAAATTACATAGGTCTTTGGTTATATTTTGATGTTGGAGATTAAAGTAAGCCTAAATCCCGAGGAACCTTTGCTGGGTTGAACTGGGTTCTTGTAGGATGTATGCCTGAGAATAAATTACTAGTTAACAATTATCTTTTATTAGACCAACTTAAATAGTTGGAAAACAATTATTAAGTAAGCTTTGGGGTTCAAAAACCGTTCGCCAGGCTAAGGAAGTTACAGCAGTTGGTGTGTGCTCTTTTCATTCCATCCAGAAAGTAAAGAAGCCAGCGGCTAGGCTGGTATGCATACAAGACAGGTAGTCAGTGAAAATGTAGATTGAAGAATCAATGGGTGAGACAGCCTGGGGAGGCGGGGGAAGAGAGAGAAGGGGGATGAAAGTGGAGAGAGACCCATCCAGGAAGAGCACACACCAACTGCTGAAACTTCCTTAGCCTGATGAAGGGTTTTTGAACCCGAAAGCTTGCTTAATAAATATTTTCCAACTATTTAAGTTGGTCTAATAAAAGATATCAGATTCACCCAAAGAACCTTGTCTGCCTATGTCCTTAGATCAACATGGCTACAACCTACACCCTAGTTAACAATTTGCTCTTTTGCATCCTAGATTAGTCTTTTTGGCCTCTCTTAATTATGTCATAGAAGCTTCTGCAGTCAGGAGGGCCTGAAGAGAATTTATGAACAGCTAATTGTTTTAGCCTACTTTTCTTCCTTTGCAAGCAGTAAAACTTCTTACAATAATTTATTTTAGAATGCATAATGCAGTGATTTTAAAATCAATGTTTCCCGATACATAACAGACAAGGGATTAAGATAGGATTTTAAAAATAGACAAAAGCGCTTGGCATCCTTCTTTCTGGTACATAGTTATAGCAACTATAAGATTCCATGGGGATGGCAAACCTGTAGTGTGTTTGCCACAAGTGAAATTAGTAGGCTCCTTTAGAAGTAACATTTTGACTTTTTGTTCTTCAGGTGATCAAGAACATAGAGGATTTGGAGTCAGAGGTCAGAATTTTGAATCATATATATTGTATTTAGTTGTATTTGTGTATAGGTAAAAGTTCTTTCTCTAAGAAAGGAAGGGGAGTACAGAAATGTGGCTGTAATATATTCCTAGTTCTGGTATTAATGCACTATGACAACTTGGAAAAAATCATTAAGTCATTGAATGTCTCAATTTCCCTCTTTGTAAGTGGTAATAATACCTAGTTTAAGTGTGCTGAGATTTAAGAGGTTTAAGATTTAAAGTGCTTTTCAGCTTCTTTAAATGAAAAATTCTGCAGATGAGTGAAGATGTTATCATGTCTGTTAGCTAATTCAATATAATACCTGTCCTGACCCAAGCAGAGCTGCATGTTTGATGTGTTTTAGGTAGGAATACTTTGTTAAGAAAAGAAGAAAAAGTGATTAATAGGAAAGGCCAAGGAGAAAGCAACTTTGCATGTTGAACTAGGAATCTTGATGTATGGATAAAGGGGTAGTTTTTAAGGCTTTTTCGGCCTGACTTTCTCTCACTCAGTATATTTATGGGAGATCCTGTTTTCTCAAGCCAGTCTTGTTCTATATCAGTCTATAGCATTGAACAAAGTTTCATGCAGCATGTTGGCACAAAACTTAGTTCAAAGACATGATGAGCCTGCAAGACCTGCCATCTTAGAAGGCCTGTATAATAGGTGTTCATCCTCATGATGATGATTCCAAATGAAGTCTGTGAGAACAGCTTGCTAAAACTTTGAAGTATGCTCTGCTATACATAAGTTAAATGTTGCAATAGCAAGAAGTTTTGGGAGTACATTCATTTTAATGGCAGCTATTCTGGTGACCCCAAAACTCTCCATCACCACCTGTTCTTTGAGGGATTTTGTTATTTTTTAGACCAACAATTAGCATTAAAAAGTTCCTCTTTCTTTTCCCTAAGGCTGATACCCAGGTATTTCATCAAAATTTTAATTTGCTTAAAATTATAAAGTTTTTTTCCCCATTCCAGCTTAAGCTTCTCAGGGATACCAACACCTAACATGTACATGTTAATAATTATCAGTATATTGTTACGTAATTAATTGCCAAAGGAATTAAAAATATTAAATATTATTGCATATTTAGTGTTGTATCCAGCGACAGATGACTACCTGTCTAGAATACTGTTGCTCTTAAGAAGGAAAGAGTATTCTGTTTAAAAAAAAAAATAAAAAAATGGCAGCACATTCTCTGTATAGAGAACTCTATTATGTTCTAATCTGTATCCAGCCTCGTCTGGGAATCTTGCCTTACTGCAGTGGCCAAAGGTTCCATGTCTAACAGAAATAGCAGTGGCAGTAGTGGGATTTGGTCAGTCAGACAAGGAATATTGTCCAGACTGCCAAACTGGAAGCATGATGAAGGCTGAATAACAAACTAATATATTTACTTGAATACAAAATGAGCACACCCCCTCCCCCAGCAAATGTCATGAGGGAAGAAACTCCCTTGTCATAAGATATAAAAGAAAATCTCTCTAAATTCATTCTCTGCCATTAAACTGCTGCCAAAAGCAGCATGCACTCAGCAATGGAAACCAACCATGAAGTTGAAATGCAGCCAACACAGATCATGACTATAAAACACATGACCTACATTGGGCAAGTAAGCCCAACCACAAGGAGAGCTTAGTGCAGCCCATCTGAATAAGACATATGATAGTGCCCATTGAATAAGAGTCGGCACCAACATGCCCCACTGCCTCATGTACACCCTGCTACTCTGCCCTTGCAGCCCCCAGTCCTGTTTTTCCCCATTTCCTTCCCCTCTGTGCACTCCTTACTTTTGTTGCTGGCCAGCAGGCTCCATCCCTGCTGCAACCTGGGGTGCAGAGCCTGGCTGCAGCCTGGGCCTCTAGTAGCAGTGGCACAGATCTGGCACTGCTGTTCTAGCCCAGCTGAATTTAAGATGATCCTTCAATAATTAGATTCCATACATGGAAAAAATTTTCCATGTGTAGAATCTAATTATTAGGGTTCATTTTACATTCAGGGTCATGTTTCATTTGGGTAAATATGGTAGGTGCCAAAGTGCTGCTTCGGAAGTGCATTTATAGAGTACCTGTGCTAAAACTTGCAATAGTTTTTAAAAAAAAAAAAAAAAAAGGTAACGTGTCAGTTCTGGATGAACTAAGTTTACGGGAAAATTTGCTACAGCCACGTTTAATTTCAGGGTTATTGTTTTCAAATTTGTTCCTCATTTTTGTGTGCTCAGGGAGGGCAGGGTCTGACAGCATGGAGAAGGGGAAGGGGCTGCCAGGGGAGAAAGTTGTGGGGAGGCAGAGAGCAATGGGATTCACCTGTCACCCCTCCCCCCCCCCCGGACTTTTTTTTTTCTTCTTCAGGAATGGGATTCCCCTTGCCCCCCCCCCCCCCCTGGAATTTATTTTCTCTGCTGTAGGAATGGGAGGTGGATGAATTCAAGGCACATCTACAATAATTAAATTCTGTATCTGGAAAATTATAACAAAGTTATAATTTTTTTATATAGATAATCTAATTATTGGGGGGCGTCCATGTATTCAAGTAAATATGGTGTTACAAGCACCTGTTTTTCTAGCTGATCACTTTATTCTTTCCCTCCTTTGGTCTAGTCCAAATGGTACTTCCAAAATCTTTGTCCACGCCCATTTCTTTGATCATGTCACCCACTATCTTTCCCCCCTTTCCTAGCATAATAAACACACATTTGTAGTCCTTGTCTTCCATGTCTCCCATAGTTTAACTCACCCTACTTACCTAATCCCTTCCCTTACTTTGTATTCTATTCCTTTCACTCTGCCAATAGTTAGGCATTCTCCTCTATGCTGCCCCTTATATGTGGGTTTTTTGTGACTTTAATTTGTGAAACGGGTAAATAAATGACTATTTCCAGTGCACCGTCTCTCATTAAAATAAAGCAATTATGAAAATTTTTTAACCAGGTGGTTACAGAGGAGGCAATGAAGAAGTAATTGCAGGTTCTGGAAGAAGTAAGTTGCTTTATTGTAAGTTACCTTAGCAAGGAAGTGGGTTTGTTTGTTTTTCTTTTTTGCTTTATTAATAGTTAATTTCCTTTTTCTTAAAGGTACTTGGAAGTCAGGCGCAATGGAAAGTGGTGATAATCAAGGTAAGCATGTACATGTTTGTAGCACTAATCATAAAGCATGCTTGCCTTACTAATTCTACTTAGTTTATTTTTTCATCTGAGCAGAAATACTCAGTACTATGCATGTAGTATATGTACAGATTAGGCGTTCTTCAAAGTGGACCATGTCCACATGCGTAACATCTTGAATCAACAATCCACAAATAGGCCATTGAAAGTCATTTCTGAATAAGACTCAGTGTATTTATGTTGTGCTTCTCAGAGGCTCATTGTGGCTTACAAATCTGCCTCCTGCCATGCCCTCGCCTATCAAAAGTCCAGATCTATGTGGAACTCCCCTTTCTAGCCACACACCAGATTGGCCCAGTGTGCAGAGTTGATCTGTTGCTGGACTCCGCACACCAGATCTAGATCTGGTGCACTGGCTTTGAAACCACATGCTAGATGGGACCCAGTGTGTTGAGTGTGGGACTTCATGTTGGGTCTGGGGTAGTGTGCTGGGTTGGCCCTGGCACATGGCTTCAGAGTCATTCTTAGGCTCTGCCCTGCCGTGTGGCTCCAGAGCTAGTGCAGAGCCACAGACCTGGTGCACTAGGTTGGACTGCAGGTTTCATCCAATGTGCATGGCTGGCAGCAGGCTTGGCTCGGCTCCCTGGCAACTGCCATTCATAGAATCATAAAAAAACAAAAATTTAGGATTCGAAGGGACCTCAGGAGGTTATCTGGTCCAATCCATGCTCGAAGCAGAATCATCCCCAACTAGATCATCCCAGCCAGGAGGTGAGGGGGAATAGAGGTCACACAGGAATGTGCAGTAACAGGATGAGACATAGGTCTGAGTAGTGCTATGCAAAAATTTAAAGGATAGAACAAGAAAATAAGTTTTGCAGAAGTCAGTCATGGAAGGGATTTGAAAAAGGCAGAGAGGCCAGCTTATTTTATTGGGAGGAAATCTGTACTGGATAAATCAGTGGACAGTCCTCAACTGGGCATCATGCCATGCCACTGAGGGTGCTACAAGATCTTTTCGAGGGTGCCATGGTGCTGGTGCTACCACAAACAGGTGAAACTGCTCTGTGTGCCTTGCACAGATCCTGACTTGGGGAAAGGTCTGTGGGAAAAGCAGGAGCTCCTGCTTCCATTAGATTTATCTGATTAAGCTGAATGGAAGCTGGATGGCCTTCTCTTGCTGCATGACTTCCTGGTCAAGCCCTGCATGCTCTTCTTGGGAACAGGTGTGCAGGGCAGTTCTACCTGATGGCAGCAGTGGTGATGCAGCAGCCTGGAGGAACACAGGCATTGCACAGATAAATCTCCAGGCTGCCACCAGGTAGAACAATCCTGCATGCTTCTGTTTTCAGCAG